TCTTGTATATCCTTTTACGCTAGCAAGTTAGAAAATCTATGGGAGTTACGGCTGCGACCACCAGTAAAGCATTTTTAAAAGCCGTACAGTATGCATTTGCTTCCCTCAAGCCGCCTCATTATTGAAGCTCCGTCAGACTATCTCAGTACTTACCCTCTTGACCGCAGAGGAAAAAGGAACGTAGAGTTTAAGTTATAGCGTGTCGTAGCTTACAGGATTCAAGGGTTGAAAATATTATGACACAAAAGTCTGGGGTTATAGCGTCACAGGTTACAGTGTTCAAAAAAATAGGAATTTAAGGGTCTGGGGCTATTGCGTCGTAGCTTACAGTGCTCGGAAGTTATGGAAATTAGGGTATAAAGGCGTGAGGTTATAGTCTTATATGTGTCATATGTGCGCATCCGGAAAATTGGCTGTTTCGGGACTACTGAAATACTTGATTCCGATCAACGATATCTCGATGAAAAAAAAGATATCTCAAATCTTAAATAAGGAATTTGAAGGATAAGGGTATACCTTGCAAATGATTTGCCCCGTTTTCAGAAAAATTATTTTTCCGCGTTGTTATGGGACCTCAAATATACCAAAAAACTGCCTTTTTTACCCTTTTAGGTTAGGATATCTAAAAAACCTAAAATGATGGACAAATTCTGACTCTAGATTCGAATTCTAAGCAAAAAATTACTTTGGAAATGATCTTCCGTTGGCCAACAACAAAACCATGCAGATCTGTGTTATAGTTAATATGATTACTAGGGTAAATCGAACTAAGTCGTTCGAAAAATTTAATATAAAGTAGAAACACAGACCTACATATGAGATTCCAAATTATGGGAACCAGGCACTGCTGAATTTTAATTTAATCACAAATTAAATACCATAGGAGTGCCATTCCGAAAGAAAATGAACTACCGTATTTTCCGGTGTATAAGACGCACCTTTTTACCGTCAAACCTGACTCCAAAACCAGCCTGCGTCTTATACACCGAATGTAAGACACCCCAAATCCACTAACCTAACTAAAACGTGCGCCTGAATAGTAGCAATTAGACAACCCTCACTAACTATGAATATCTTTCAAAACTAGCCAATGACAGAGTGATTACTTATTTAATAGGTAAGTTCTTTATTATTTCAATAATATATAGTAAACGTACTTTATGTCTGAGGATGATAAAAAATACCTATTACCTATATGCCACTTGGGATCAAAAAACGTCGCATAATATACTAGATAATTAATACGAGATTTTTTATAAAAACGGTATTTTTGTTGCATCGTTTATTTCAATATAATTTTGAAAGTGTTTTTTGAAGTAAGAGACTGACTTGAATTCCAATATGAGCGAAACTAACAAACGAAAATCGTACACAGCGGGCTACAAATTGAATGTGATCAAATTTGCTGAAGAACATGGCAATAGAACTGCCGAATATCATTTCGGCCCACCACCGAAGGTAAAAAACTAAGGAAAAAAGGCTTTGGCGTTCGCAGAAGAGTAATTTGATTAAAATGCATAAATCAAAGCATGCGCAATGTGGTAAAAAAGCAAGTGGCTTATATTAGAGGATGAAGTTAAACAATGGATTGAAGATAATCGTTCCAAAGGCTTAGCTGTTTCAACGAAAATGATACGCATACATACACAAAAAGTAGCTTTAAACAGTCAAATAAATGATTTTAAAGGAAGTCCTTCATGATGTCACCGTTACATGAAACGCAATGGTTTAGCTATACGAGTGAAAACAAAAATTTGTCAAAAAATGCCAAAATAGTACGAAGACAAAATTCTCTCTTTTCACCGGAATATAATTCACCGTAGACAAGCAATGAGTTTTGAAATCGGACAGAAAGCAAATATGGATGAAACACCTATGAACTTCGATGTTCCGTCAACTAAAAGTGTTTCGAAAAAAGGACAAAAAACGATTACGATAAAGACCAGTGGTCATGAACAATTCCACTACACCGTGGTTCTTGCTTGCTGTGCTGATGATGTAAAGCTACTTCCAATGATCATTTTTAAACGTAAAACTATGCCTAAGGATAAAATACCGATAGGTGTAATAGTGCATCTATACCTAAAAGGATGGATGGATGAAGGTGGTAAGAAAATTTGGATACATAAAGTCTGGTGTAGAAGACAAGGTGGCTTCTTGAAGAAAAAAGCACTTCTGGTTCTTGATCAATTTCGGTCTCATTTGTTAGATTCTGTAAGATAAAAATTTCATCAAAAAAACAACAAAAATAAATAAAACACAACAAAATCAAAAATAAATACAAAAAAACAACAAAAAATACTTAAAAAATGCAAAAAAAACTTAAAAAAACAACAAAAATCAAAAAAAAAAATAAAAAAAACAATAAAAAACAAAAAAAATAGAAAATGTCTCTTTTGATTGTCGACCTCCCCGTGGTAAGAGATATGCAACGGCAATGTATCTAATCATCGTCGGCTAACAGATATCAATATTTTTTTATCATCCCGTAATTAACTTTAATTCACAAAAAAGACGTGCTTTATTACAATTAAACGAATTTTTTTCCTCAAAACTAAATTTTTATCAAAATTTTCATTTTTTCTCAAAATGTGCCTTCAAATTTTGGGGTGCGTCTTATACACCGGTGCGTCGTATACACCGGAAAATACGGTAACTAAATCTACAGTTGATAATTTTGACAAGGACAATTCGAATTAATATTGGTTGTCCAAAATAAAAACTTCAGCTAACCTTAACTTCATATTCTTGGTCGTGGATTATACCCCTTACCTCAGCCGGCAAACTTAATTCATAGTAAAAACAAAAAATACAAGTCAAAATATGTCTAACTGCACAATTCAAAATTGCTATTAATCTAAACTGCATCGTCCTAGTTTTTCTAGAAAAAATTTATAAATTCACGGATTTTTCGAACGGCAAAACCTTCGTAAATATTCGATATCTGTATAATTTAATTGGACAAAAAAACTGCACCTTTACTTTTGTGAAATTATTAACATAATATTAGATAATTAATAAAAACCATTCCTCTATTAGTCATGTAGTAGTACTGGCTAGAACGCATGCGCGAACGCAGAAATGGGAAATCTCTGCTGTTTTCAATTTCCGAAAATCAACAATGTGTTGTATCTATATATAGGACATTGTCAAACGGTAATATATTGGTAATTACTGAAACTGGATCCTTCTAGTTATTAAGAAATAAATTAAAACCGTTTAACTCGTTTAACGAGATTTTGCAAGAGCAATAACTTCGTGCATATTCGATATTTTTACGATGTAAAGATACCAAAAAACTGCACTTTGTTTGATCTTAATTGCACTCTCTTTACTCCTGCAGAATTATTTATATAAATACTAAATAATTATTAAATTCTTCCATTAGCTATGTAGTAGTTAATGAGTTTGAGTTTGAGTTTACTAGATGGCGGAGAGTATCTTAGCTGAGACTCCGGTATGCCAAAACGCATGTTTTGACATAGTAAGTAATGGTTAGAGCGCATGCGCGAACTACTACACAGGCGGGAAACTAGGCCGTTTTCAAATTCCGATTAAACAACAATGTATTAACGACTTCATCTATATATAGGACCTTGTTAAACGGTAATACGATGATAATTATTCAAACTGCTCCTTTCTAGTTATTAAGAAAAAGAAAAACGAATGCTTTGTTCCATTTCTAAATGTAGGTTTGTTTGCTAAGATAAATAACTAGGCATATGTAAGAAAGTAATGGCAATCAAGCTATAATCTAAATTACAATTAAACAGTAATTATAGGTACAGTGAACACAAGCAATCTATAGTGTTATCGCACACGTACACACAGCTATGTTAATTGAAAAATGAGAAAATTTGCAAAGCAGTGGAATTACAAAATTTTGTTAGTGGAATTATCCATTTACACTCTACGAAAACTGTAGGCCAACTTCAACTGTTCCTCCTCCCTCTACTCTGTCTTAACCGCGAACATTCATAATCAAGCAGTATCCATTTTATTTAAATTTGGTATGAAATGCTCTATCTCATTCATCCCTCTATTCTGTCGCCCTGACTCTATCATTTCGTCTAGGCACAGTAAATGTCAAGCACCTTCCAAACTAGCCGGAATTATCACCGTCGTGGATGGGAAAGAGATTCGCAGACGAATCAGTAGATTACATTCGCTTATCAGGCGAAATCGCACTAACGCGAGAATGACGGTTGGTATTACACTAAGATATACGTAGGAGCTCCGCAGGCGACAATGATTCGTCGACGAATGAATTTTCCCGCCTATGCGTAGAAAGAAATGAACGAAATCACCCTTAGTTGGCGTTCGCGTTTGGCAAAGTTCTGCCACTCAATTCTTAGTCGCACCTCCGACACACACCCATACATACTTTTTCGCCTTTGAGCGCGTGTAAGCGCAATATAATTTTTAGCCTCGTTTTTATGTTTGCGACGCAACATGCTTCCGGGCTGCGAAAATGATGGTTAACAACTAAAATAATTCGCAGAGTTAAATGAACTACAGTAAACAATAAATTAGATGAATCAATAAACAAACATAGTTCTAATTAGAATCAATAATGGCGTAATATCTCATTAATCTACATAACAAGAATCTTTGACTAGCCTAACTAACAGGTGAACGCAGTTTCCGTTGAAGTGATTGATTAGTTGATTCAATTAAATCCTAATAAATTTATACTTAAGTCGGATTCTTGTATACCCTCTCTTGACCCAATATAACGGAGCTGGGTCTCACGTCACAGCAATCACCCTCTCGGCGTAATTGCTGAGCTTCTGGCTATAAGACTTCCGATCTCACCTTTCTCGGACCAGGCTCCACAATTGCTCTCTTAGAATACGACGCGGTTCGACTCTTTTAGGGCGATCCGCGGCGCGCACATCTGAAGTATTTCAATTGCGATGAAAAGAGAAAGTAAACGAAGAATTCCGACAGATTAGTGAACTACAGTGCGTTAGATACATCTTAACTAACTGTGATTACAATTAATCTGTAAGCAACGGACATAAACGCGTGATGTTTCGCTTATAAACACCGATAGCTGTCCTAACAGATGCAACTCTAGCTACACCGTCGTTTCCAGGAAACACTTCGGTGACAATCCCGAGTGGCCATCTAGCGCTAACTGGATTGTCCTCCATCAAAATGACCACAGTGCCAGCTTTGATGTTGCTTGACGATTTAATCCATTTCTGACGAGTTTGCAACTCGTTCAGGTATTCCTTGTGCCATTTATTCCAAAAGTCCTGGCGCATTTTAGTGATGAATTTATAGATGGCTAACCGATTGCTTGAAACTGAAACAAGATTGGTTTCTGGTAAGAAAGTGATTAGTCTTCCTACAAGAAGATGAGCCGGAGTTATTACTAAAGGATCATTGGTATCGGCTGAAAGAGAGCACAATGATTGCGAATTTAGAATTCCTTCTATTTCTATTAACAATGTGTTGATCTGCTTGTATGTGAGCGTTAGATCCTTTAAGACACGTTTGAGATGGTCTCTAAAGCTTTTTACAGCTGCTTCCAATCCTCCAAAATGTGGAAACAAAGACAGATTAAAATGCCAAATAATTCTTTTTGATAGCGCGAAACTGGCAATACTATCCTTAAACTCGGGAGTGTCGTGAAGCTTGTAAATTTCGCCGAGCTCTTTGTTAGCACCGAAAAAATTTGTCCCGTTATCTGAATACATATGCTATGGAATTTAAGGGAGTATGGTACCTAAGAGATCAAAAACTGAGAATCGTTTGAAACTTTGAGGAAATGTTTATTTAAGTGCACTGAATGCACTATTCAAATTTCGCGACCCTCAGGAACTTCAAACGGGAGTAATTAATTATTGAAGTTAACACGGGCTCTTATGGAAAAAAGCACTTTTCTGCGTTTATAAACATATCAGAAAATGAGAAAATTCTGAAAAAATTCTGGAACATGTGAAAAAAATTTTTGAATCGATTGGTACATTCAAAATCATCTTCAGGAAGCTCTAACCAGAGCAATTGAACAATTTCAATCGTAAATTGGTGATTAGCGCCAGCGCTATAACAATACGACAACGTCGCATGTCTCTTGCATGCTCTTAGATACGCACGAATTTTCAAACGACGTGCGCGCTTGTACTTTACATTTCTGTGGTAGTTTTGATATAAAAAATCGCGTTGTTTGCATCTGAGGTCGTAAACTTTTTTGGTCACTCTCTTCTTTCTCCAAAACCATTTTTCAACTTTTTTCTCGTTGTTATTGTCACTCATATCCGACCGTGATCGAGCTATAATTTAGGTTCGAGCGTACACTGTAAACAACACGCGGTAATAGCGGAGAGCGGAGCATGTATACAACGTTGCCAAACTTATGATTGCTCCACGCGAGCCAAACGAAAGTCGATCAGTTCTCTCAACTAGCTACGTACGTATTACTCCCCTCAGTTGTTTATTTAAGTATGAGCGTTTAGCGTTGGTTATCAGTTGCCGATCGAGAGAGAGAGAGAGAGAGAGAGAGAGAGATTGTGAGGGAGGAGATTAAACCATTCGCAGGTGCGAACTTTGGCCTGGAAGGGGGTGTGATGAGAGCAAGCGTTGCACTTGTTCTCGTAGGTATTTTCCCCAATTCCCCCTTTCTCTCGGCAAGGCATGGTGACCAGGGTTAGGCGCATTCTTAAATGTATGGTCTTTGTTTCAGCCGACGGAGATTGCCGAGCGAGGCCGAGCCGGCCCAAAGTCGTCAAATGGACGAGAAAGTATGGAAATGTTAGAAAGAGAGAGAGAGAGAGAGTTAGGGGCGTGCGTACCCCACGTAGAACAGACGCGCGTCGCGAACCAATTAGTCGTTTGCCGCCTAATAAGTAGGTCAAGTGGGGAGAGAAAGGACGAGGAAGAAACTGTCGATCGCGGAAGCGAACGAGCGACACAGACGGGAGTTAGTCGATCAGCAAACCAGACGGTTTAGTCGATCAGCGGTACAGAGTTGAAGTGCAGTTGAGAACAAAATGGTCAGCCGAAGGCACTCGCCGCCAAGGAGCCGAGAAGAACCGAGAGGAAAAGAGGACGAGTGCCTTATTCCAGCATCTGCTTAGGACGCTACCCGGAGGAGCCGGCAGGAGTTGCCCAGCGACGGCCAACAACATCCTCCGCAGGGCGCAGCCAGGCCCCCGTTCCTGCATTGAAGGTCAAGGCTCGTAATCTAATTTCTCTCTCTCTCTCTCTCTCTCTCTCTCTTTAGCGGTATGGCACAGCGGGTAGTTGTAAGGATCAGGTAGATAGCAAGGCGTACACGCGCCGGCTACCTGCCTTGATTACGGTCGGCGTCATTGAATTGTTCAGGTAGAGTACCGTCAAGGTGATCCCTTGCCAGGCGGCTTTCTCTTTTAGTTTAAGTAGCCTAAGTCGGTTCGTCGTCATGGCGGTTATCTGCCAAGCGACGCGTGCTGTACTCGTATATCAGCTATATTAGTAAGCGCGATAAGTTAGTTAATTTGTTCTTTGTTCTCGTATTGTAATAGGTGTTAAGAACACTATTGTGTTCGTTAGTGTTAAGACGTGTTTGCAACACCGTTGTATTCATTAGGTTAAGATTCGTAAAGCTGGTTATAAGTATAATTATGCAGTTTGTTCATGTACGGCATTTTGAAGTTTAATTGTAATTTCAATTTGATTTTCATTAGATTATATTTGATTTGAATGCGAATTTTGTTGTGTGTATAATTTCTTAATTGCTTTCATTTTTTTACCTTCGCCCTCCCCCCGTCCCGCCTTGATTGCTATGAGCGAGTGTACCTCACTTGCCCACCTTAAAAATTGATAACGAACGAGCTTTCGTTACAACTTCTTCAGAGAAAATTAAAAAGCAGTTTTACTACATAATGGAAATTAAGTATGCTGAATTTTTTGTTGCCCACTCCACTGTATTTTAAGAATTAGACGACAACTTTCCGTTTGCTCTACATAAAATAAAATATACTCGTACTGTTCATAACTGGCTTATTTATGGTGACTTAAAAAGATAAATCTAATGGTGGGCTTGCAGTCTATCAATACGCAAGATCTCTGTTTTCTCTCTTTAGAACAGTCGTGCAAGGGAAAAGCAGGGGAAAATAGAAAGATGGCGATAAAAATCAGAGTGAAAAGTTGATTTATATAACGTCGTTTATGATGGTCTTGTTGATAGGAAGCAAGGATCGCTACATTCTATATCAACTAGTAAATAATAATGTATTTCATGCGAGATTAAAACATGTAGATCTACATTATCATTTTACAAAAGATGCTGTAAATGATAACGTTTTCTAACTACATTATCTATCAACAGAAAAAATGATAGCCGATGCAATAACAAAACTTCTTAATAGATTAAAACATCATTATCGATATATAATATAGGTGTAAGAAAATTTTCATTTTATGACTAAATCAAACATAAAATTTGTTATTTAATTTTAGAAATTATGTATTGTGAGCGAGTATTAAAGCTCTATCTAGTCTACAATGCATGATTTCACGAGTATCTATATAACATTAAGTATAATAATATATCTTTATGCAAAGTCTGAAATTGATGCAGAACATTGTTAACCAGTCGTTAAAAAAAAAATTCATCTATTTTCATGCTTTTGCTTAATATATTTTTTGTTTACAGTCCAATCGAGAACTGGTCTGATAGTTATTTGTTCGTCTCAGCAAGACCTACAAAAGTATACGAGGTGTGCTCAAAAAATAGCCGGAATTTTTAAATTTCGCGGGTCTGGAGAGTCCGATTGTCAAAATTTTTTTTTATTATGTTGGTACACATGCCCCTGAAGTACGATAAAATTTTCAGCAATATTCATTGCTTACTTTTTAAGTGGCAGCCGCTAACGTTAGACGTGTTTTTCGAGCTCGGCGATTTTCGTTTGTGAAAAAAAATGGATCAAAGAATTTGTATTAAATTTTGCGTAAAAAATGAAATAAAGTGTAGTAAAGTTTGTCAAATGTTAACAAAGGCATATAGTGAGTCTGCTATGAGTAAAGCAAGGATTTATGAGTGGTATAAGCATTTCCAAGATGGCCACGAAAACGTTGAAGATGACGAACGACCCGGTCGACCCAGCTCGTCAACAATCGATGAAAATGTGAAAAAAGTGGAAAAAATGGTTCTGAATGATCGCCGAATCACAATTAGAGAAGTTGCTGATGAAGTTGGCATATCAATTGGCTCATGTCATAACATTTTTTCAAATGTTTTGGGCATGAAACGGGTGGCAGCAAAATTTATTCCAAAACTGCTGAACTTTGACCAAAAAAAACAATCGCATGAACATCGCTCAAGAGCTGTTAAACGACGTCAACGACGATCCAAGTTTGCTTGAAAGGGTCATAACTGGTGATGAAACATGGGTGTACGGTTATGATGTCGAAACCAAAGCACAATCGTCCACCTGGAAGCATTCAACGTCACCAAGAGCGAAAAAAGCACGTCAAGTTCGATCAAATGTGAAGGTTTTGCTTACAGTTTTCTTTGACTGCAGGGGCGTGGTACATCATGAGTTCTTATCACAAGCTCGTACGGTTAATAAGGAGTATTACCTTGAAGTTATGCGACGTTTGCGTGAAGCAATCCGAAAAAAACGCCCCGATCTTTTGCATCACTATAATAACGGGTGCGTAAGGTCAATCGTGAGCGCGTGTGTGTTTTGGACGGTCCTTTAAGGGTCGTGCATATCGATTTGGGCGGGTCCTGAGAGGTGTTTTTTCGCGAGGTCTCGGGGCTAATCATATGCTAATATGTGAGCTAACGGCATCACCTGATCGGGCGTCCGCGTCCTCTTGTCGAAAGAGGATTTCGCGTCAGCCCTATAGGTTGAGCTTTTTACATGATGACGCATCATCACAATATAAAAAATAATGTATTGATTACTATAATAATAATGTATTGATTTGCAGGATGATTAAAAGCAATATTACAATATATTTTTCTGAAACTAACGATAAAAATATTCTTTGCACATTTTTGTATTATTCTGCTATTTTATAGAATATATTATTATAGAAATTTTAATATTTATATTAATGTAGAAAATAATTGATTGCTTAACATGTGCATCGATAATCACAAATAAGTTTGGTATTAGTATATGATATAGCTATATTAATTCTTTCTAAATAATTTTTTGAATAATTTAATGTTGTAACAGGCCGTCGCCTAGCCGCGAACCTCGGGTAATAACAATCCTAAATACAGCCAGACGATGCCCTATTAACTATGTGCTCCTAGCACACTTGCTCACCTTGTCCCGGTGTGCGCCTGCGTCGAGTTCTCTTACCGATCCAACCTGGGTCCACGATCTCTCCGCCAGGGGCGCTGCTACGCCTGCTTTACAGCGCTCAGTCGGCCACTGCTGACTACTCGGTTGGCGGGCAGCTTCTCTCGTTGCTTTCGTGATTCGTGCTAAATTACCGGCGCGTTCGAATCAAACGTAAACAATAACACCGATTTCGAACAAAGGGAAGACAAAATAACGAGATCGTTTCGTGTTAATCTCTGATCACTTTATTCCCTCGAATCTAATATAAGGGAGGGATTTGCCGAGAGACTCACGCACGCTATTTCGATACACCAATTCGAACGGGGAGAGAGAGAGTAAATCTCGCGGACGTCGCGGACTATTCGCACGCTCGCTATCAAGAAAATCACCGCGCACGCTGCGCGGGGTCGCACGCT